TGACGATCAGCGTTTTAAATGTAATTTTCACACGCACATATTTTTCCCACACCAGCATGATGGCATGTGAATACGCCATGTCAGTATTATCTTAACTCCTACTAGATTTGGATAAATGAAAACCATACTTATACTAAAAAGGATTTTTCAAAAATCAGCATAGCGCATATCAAAAAAGTTGAACAGAAAACCATACCTCACATGTTTCATATTACACATTCATGTGATCATACTGGTATAAATCACAAGAATTACTCATCAATTCAATATATCTTTATATGGCAATTTATACAGATCTTATTCTCAAAAGTCTTAGTCTAAATGCACTAACACAAAATAGTAATCTCATCACACGCCGTAATAATATCATATCTTTTCGTTAATAGGAATGTTATAACTACCAAAATTGTACAATCAAAAACCATAATGTTTGCTAAAAAAGGATTCTGAGAAAATCAGCCTAAGTGACATCAAAAAAGTTGAACAAAACCATCCTATCACATTTCATGTTACACATTCATGTGATCGTACTGGTATAATATAATTATAATATAAGTATAATCTAATATTATCTTGTAATTATCTAATAGCAATCTAATAGCAATCTAATAATATAATATTTTAATAATATTTTAATAATATAATAGCAATCTGTTTAAAATAATTAAATAATGTTACTAATATCTTAACACTTAACAATATGATAAAAATATTGTTAATAGTAACTTAACAGATTAAAAATATTTTTATTATATTTTTATCATATAATAGTTATATAACTATTATATGATAATCATAAATGGCAAAAATTCAAGTTTCTGCTAAGAAATTCCAAATCCACTTAAATTCCATTCCCACTTACAACATATATATTTTTTCAACTTTGAGCAAAGTTATCTCGATATTAGTCTAAGCTTTTTGATGTTTAGAATCATTTTTGAATTCTATTAGCCCGCAAAATTTGAAAATAATCTCAAACATCAAAATGAAAAGACATTATTGATATACTTACGCTCAAGGTTTGTAAAGATTTAAGTGAATAAACTAATCCTTTTATCTAGTTATAAAATACAAATGAATGTTGCACTATCGAAAAAAAATTAGCATTTAATTTTAAGTAGCAATGCGTAAAATCAATAGTAAATTTAAAGAAGTTTTGCAGATTTTTTTGTTATGTGCGGTCACTGCAATTTGAAAAGTACAATAATTTGTATATTTTATTGTAATTTATTGTAATTTGAATTCTTACAATTTCAAAAAGTGTTTGAAAAAAAATAAAAATAAAATAAAATAAATTGAAAATAAAAAAATGATTTAAACCAATAAATAAAATAAAATAAGGAAGAGTATGGGAAAACAGGATTTCTATACTATCTAATGTAATTTCAGGGACGCTTTTATATGATATTTTTTTATATAGTAAAAAGGCAATCTGACATTATTCAATTTTAATAATTTTGATTCGAAAACAAGACTAAGATTCCCGTCGCTATTTAGCTATAGTAATAATCGGTTCCTGTGCAGGTTCAGGAAAGCGAGAATAAAAAAAATTTTGAAAATTTTATTTATAGGCAAGAAATTTAGATTTATTTGCAAAAAAAAATTTTGAAAATTTTGAAAATTTTAACGTGAAAAGCGTGATAATTTGAAAAAAAATTCTTTCGTTTTTAGAATTTTTTTATATGGAAACACCATGCTTTTAATACGACTTTCAGTTATATAAACATGACGAGCATATCGTCATGATTAATTAATACATCAAATTGTGGAGATGATATGCAATTTGTCAATTATTAATTGACAAGTCATTTTTCAATTTGAAAATGACATATGTTTCAGTGAACCATCATAAAAATTTACTATTGTCTCCATTTTACGTAATTTACCATGATAATATATTTGTCGAGTGAAAAGCATGGTGGAAATAGGTTTTCTCTTTTATATTTACATTAAAATTTACATTCTCAGATTCTCAAATTCTCAAATTTCCAGGTGTGACACATGAAATTTGATGATCACAGTAATTTGAAAGACACGATAAAATGCCGAAGAACAAGTCGTGTTTCTAGTTTTCAATATTTCGTGTTTATTATTATTATTATTATTATTATTGCTTTATTGAATTACTATAAATGCAATGTATTATCTCTCTAAAAATGACTTTAATCCCTTCGACTGTATAAATGCTGATTAGGTGCATCGCGTTGTTAAATTTTCTTGAAATTCACGAATTCACTTCTTGATTATTAATATTCACCAATTATCACGTTTTCCAAAGTAATTTTAAGTTCTAATTCATCATAGCCTTGATACTTATAGACCGGTGGAGGTGTTTGTTGGAGTGGGGTATGTAGACTCATTATATTCGATAATCTGCTTAGTATCTAATATATATTGCAGCTTTAGCCAGCAAATAGTGAAGTAACGATTTATAATATTAAAATATGTGTCTTAACAAACTTCACATGTTTTTTACAAAAAGTAAATAAAAATAAAAAAAAGTTTAGAAATGTTATATATTAAAGTTTTAATATTTGCATAAATTAATAACAAAATGTAATGAATACATAATTGATTTAGCATTATGGTTCGATTTAGAGCCAGTGGTTTTTCATAGCATCTAAAATAGCGCTATTTTATAGCTAGTAATGCTATTTTATGCTGAGATGCAAATTTTGCTATTAGGCCACGCATAGTTAATTTTTCGTTTTGCATTACATGGTATTCAAAATTTCGGTCAGCGGTCAGATTTTTTTTTTTATTTTTTTATCTAAATTAATAGACTTATTTACATCTAATTCATGACTTTTCATAGAGCCAGAGTCTTTTGACTTCTAAGGCTTTCCTAAAAGAGCATTTACTTTTTCAGATCTTACAGTACTATATCTATGATATCAGATTTCTTTAACTTTCGAATTAGTGAAATCCACGGTATTATAAACTGTGTATGCTTGCATGCACGTGATGTACTATACATATTTGGATTAATAACACTGAAGATTAAACTTACAAATTGTATTTATTTGTACAAATAAAATACTGTATTAAAAACTAAAGCAGAATATGCTCCAGAACAGCAACCATAATTATATTAGGTATCACCACCAGTAAAATTAACAATGCGCGTAGCATCAAATGATAATTTCTACCCTGCATAAAGCAAGTTTTATGGTTATACAGTATAGCTAGATTCTACCAAGATAAGGAGGAATGACCTAACAATATGAGAGATTCGGATTATCATTGCTTTATTGTTCATTTAGAAACTTGTTTATGATTAAACAATTATACTGTATTCCCAAAATAGCATTTAATTTAATTTGTATTTACATATTGATCTGGTTACAGTTAACTAAAGTTATACACGTCACAAAAATCTAGCTTTCTCAACTTTCTAACCAGTTACCGTATTTATGGCTATTGTACAAATTCATATAAATAAGGGTTTTATACTTGTTTAGCAATCTTTTTTTATACTTTGTTAACTCAAATTATGTATATTTTGTGACACCCTTAAAATGTGCAATTATAAATTGAATCTATTATTACATATCTATACCAATTATTCTAAGTATGCGATTACTGTTCGTATAAAAATATTTGCATTTTACTATTACTATTTGACAAAATCAAAATGCCTGTTGTATCTGTGCACATTAAAGTAAAAAGTGTAAAAGTAAACTGGATTGGTGTTTCTGTACCTAAAAATATTACAGTAAAACAGTTTTATGAAGATCTTGTTGCAGGAAAAATTGTTCCTGAGGTTCAATTGAATAAT